TGTTTGACGAAACACAAGGAAATTAGGTTTAAATAAATCTCAAGAATTACTCTTTGAATTGAAAATATAGTTAATCTAATCATTAAAATTAAGTGAATTGTTATCGTTATTACAATTATACAAAAAATAGTATATCTTATCTAATAATAAGTTTGTCTAATAATACCCTTTGAATGGGAATCAATTGGAAACACAATTTGTTAAATCCATAGCAATAATAGGCATTAATAGTAAGTGTAATAAATTGCTAACAATTGTCATAAACTCCTCCTTTTCAGTGATGTCTTCACGAGAGCCCCAAACGTAACGTAACGTTAAATACGAGACATTGAGTCAAACTTTTGCCCAAACATTGCATTCAATGCCAGAAATGTGTCGAAAAATGATTTCGTTTTGAATGAGATTTTCTGTTTGTTTTCATTATTTGTGTTTTCATTTCAATCCATAGTTTCTGTCATTTTTTCTCTTCATTTAATTTTCACATGAATTTCAGTTAATTTATTGTAATTTTATTAATATTTCGTTTGAATACTAATTATGTTTTGATTATTACTTTTTACGTATTATTTCGTCATTTATTTGTAAATAATTATCAATTAATTTGAACTCAAATTAATTGCAAAACAAGTTTTTTCATTAAAAAATCATTGAATGTTTGGACCATTTTGTGAGCAATTGATGCCATTATTAGTCATTTGATTGCATTTTAGTTACTTTGAGTACAAAAGTAAGTCTTAATTCATAACAATTGTAACAATCGATGCATTCATTCATTAAATGGATTCGCATTTTCTTCGCCACAAATCAGACACTTTTGGACTAAACAATGGCTGAATCGGAGATAATAATGGGAAAGTGGAGGAGAGAGCAGATCTTGGGTTCGGGAGGGTTTGGTGTGGTTTCCCTTTGGATCCATTTGGACACCAATGAGAGGATTGCACTGAAACAGTGCCGATGGAGTGACGCCAACGCAGGCATGTCTCAGAAACACAAGTAATATATCATCGCATCCATCCATGTCTTCGTCCCATTCAACTCAATGTCTGTGTGTTTTTGTGGTGATATTTGCAGAGAGCGGTGGCGCCAAGAGGTGGATATAATGCACCGCCTGGACTGTCCTAATGTGGTCCGTGCGGTGACAATCCCTCCGGCGCTCGACTCGCCTAAGTCTGAGCTCCCGATTCTGGGAATGGAGTTCTGCAGCGGCGGTGACCTGAGACGAGTGCTCAACAAACCGGCCAACAGTTGCGGCCTAACAGAGCTGGAAGTGCGACAAATCCTGCGTCAGGTCTCCACTGCTATTGAATATGTAATGCAATTGAAAGTGATTTTGATTTTTAAAATTATTTAATAAATTGATTTATTTCTGAATCGATGGTTAGCTTCAGTCCAAACGCATAATTCATAGGGACTTAAAGCCGGAGAATGTTGTCCTTCAGCCCCAAACCGACGGCTCTATACTTTACAAACTCATAGACTTGGGTTACGCCAAAGAGTTGGATCAGTCGAGTCTCTGCTCCTCATTTGTGGGCACTCTTCAGTATTTGGCGCCCGAATTGTTTCTAAGCAAACAGTATTCTTCGGCGGTCGACAACTGGAGTTTTGGTTTGTTAGCGCACGAGATAATGGTCGGCCGAAGACCTTTTCTGCCCAATTATAGTCCCGCCCAATGGATACCCATTGTGTCGAAGAAGTCTTCGTCAGACATCTGCGCGAACGTCGATAAAGACGGAAACGTTTCGTTTTCCAAAGAGATATCAATTTATAATCAAATTTGTTCATCACTTAAATTCAATTTAGAAAACTATCTTCGAGTGAGTCATCAATTGATTGATTTGTCGATTATAATTATAATGACATTAATTAACATAAATGTGAATATATTTCAGATGGTGTTAGAGTGGGAGCCAAAGAAAAGGGGCGGAAAAATGGTGTTTCAAATGCTGTCCGATATTCTTAATAAATACATCGTTGAAGTGTTTGTCATCAATAGTCTTGAGTGCTATTCATATGAGATAACAGAAGACACGAAACTACTTGACCTTCAATTGCTAATTGATTCAAACACATCGATTAATTGCAATAATCAGTATCTCGTTCTTCCAAAAGGACTCATTCCTCAGGAGAATATCGGTAAACAAATTATCGACTATTGGTATAAGAAGGACGACAACCAACACAAAGACACGCAAACCATTTGCATATTAATGTTTGATAAGTCAAAAGTGTCCGAATATAACAGCTATTCCGCGTGTGTTATCCCCCAATCGGTCGAAGAGATTATGTTAAACCCGACCGAAGGCATGGCTTACGAGGAACAGAAGAACGCCTGGCGTCACGCCGTTTGGGTTGTATGTGTCTCACAACCACTACATCTGCCTTTTAATTACATGTATTGTGTTAACACTGATTGTGGTTCTCATTACAGGCACAACAGGCCATCAAGAAATATGTCACTCTTCACGAGGGCTTTAAGAATATTTTGATGAATTGTTTGAGTTCTCAAAACGAAATGCAAAAAGTGAGCCAAAAAGTGAACGTAGAGTTTAGCAAATTGTTTGCAATCACACAGTTCTTCAAGAACTCCATTAAAATCAATCTCGAAAACTGTGAAAAGTTTGCCAGCAATTCATCGACAGCTCTGTTGCGGTCATCCAAAGAGGCGTTGCTTGAGTTGCGGGAAGTGTACGCAATGTCCGATACAGTCAATAACCTGTTCATGAAATCGCATTCAATAGTCGACAAAGTAATTGACGCTCAAAGGAATCCCATATTCAATGCGTTTATTAAGTCGAAACCAATTGACGAATCGATTACATCGATATATAACGAAATCCTTTCGGCTTTCGATCAGTTGAGGAAACGGTCGAAAGAGGAGAGGAGTCGTCGATATGATAACACAGTTATGGTTAAACTTTTATGCGATTGTTTTCAATTGGAAGAAAAACTAATGAAAAACATTTACTCTTATATCCGAAAATTGATTGAAATTTTGCTTCAAATCCAAATACACGAAAGGGATTTGCAATTGATTACGAAATCAGTGTCCGTTTCGATGCATAAATTGAATTCTTTACAAATTAAAGTGCAAAACGATTTGTGGTCTTATATCGAGTCGACCGCTAAAGACAAAGCCATCGCTGAAACCAATATAAACGCAATGAACAGTTCGCTCACATCCGACGAACTCGTCACTGAAAACGAGAAACTTATGAAATCCATCGAAACTATCATTTCTCGTATGCATTCCGTCGACAGCAATGACTCCAGTGATGACTCTTTCGTACATTTATAAGACATTTTCATTTCATTAAACATTTTATACGACTTTTTATAATTATAATTTAATGTTTCCTGTTATTACTAATCATGTTAATAACATAATAGCTATTTATTCTTATAACAAACAAAATGACAATTTTATGAGATGTTATCAAAACTTTATTTCATTATTTATACTGATTTGCAAATCCAAATATATTTAATAATTAAATGCAATCATAAGTATTGTTACTATTTTATTGGTTGCCTTTTGTGCTGAAATTGATTTCGTGGCAAAACTACCAAAAGTTTATAGCATATTATGTTGTAATGAAGTGAACTCAGAGATAGGAAAAGACTGAATACCTTTTTGACATTTGATAATTAAAATAATTATTGTTTGTAAACTCATTTTTATGTTATTAACTTTATTTAAACTTTTAATTATTGGCTGCTATTCATAATTCACCGGTATTTATATATTAGGCGTTCACTTATTTTACACATTTCATGACAAATATTGTTAAAACACGCGTTTATTTTGTAATTTGAAATTATTTGAAATTATATTTATATTGATTTGTATTTTAAGAGAGTTTAAGATTTTGAATAGAGATTTACTGTTAATGAATGAATTATTTGACCAAATTTAAGACTTAAAATGTTGATATCAGTTCTCATGTCATGAAGACATTGCAATATTCATTAATTATTAAAATGTTTTATTAATAAATATTATATATAAAATTTAATTAATTTTAATAACAAATTAATAAATAATTAATTTTTAAGTGAATATATTTTGAGTTTACTTGTAATTAAAACTATGGATTTACCGGAAAAAGAAGGAATTAATACACAATTGGGTTATTATAGATTCAAATCATATGTTTTGAAATAAATAATTGAATTATAAATTATAATTGAATTAAATTTAGTTGAAAATAATTGCCAAATATATGAGAAAACAACGAAACCAAAGATTGGAGTCGACAATAATATGGATGTTATAAAAGATAATGATTTGTCAATTAATGTATTAAAAGATGAGAGAAATACGAAAGGAAAGCACCGGAAGATTGCTCTAAATATGAGAAACGATGAAAACAGCGATAAAATGAACGAATCTGTGGAGGAATTGCGTTCAGGCGATGATTGGCAACCGATTCATGCCTTCACATCAACGCCAACCACAGATGAAACCAATTTTTATGACGTTTGTATTGCTTATTATTTTTGTAATATTTATGAAATCTTTAATATGTTATTATTTAGTTGAATATTTCAAGTATTGTTTGCGAAAGCAATGACTCCGATATGCTATTTGAGAGACAAATATCTCGTTTTCAAATAACCGATGAAAGAATTGAATCATTAGTTTTGGAAGATTTCGATCAAAGTGAAGACAAAAGCATTTTAAGGCATGATTTAAACCAAAACCAAAACCATAGTCAGTATTGAAGATAATAGCAATATATTACCACAAAATCCGGTTTTGCTTAATTTTAACAAATTTTAGTATTAATTTTGTATTTTAATTACTTGTTATTAATTTAAGTTTAATATTTAACATTTTTAATTTAATTTTAAAACTAATATTTTGTTTATGCTGTATATTTATAAGTATCTTATTTGTTAACAGTAATACTTATTAATTCTTAAATTATATTTCATATACGTATCTTTAATATACAAAATGTAATAAAAATTAATTATAATTTCTTAAAATTAATTTGTAATTATAATAACAATCACGGTAGAATTTATATTAAATATACATTTTATAGATTATATGTATCGTTAATACCTAAATATAGTTTAAAATATTGCAGATTTTAAACAAAGACAAATCCTAAAAGACTAATGCATTGCAAGAATAATTGAATTTTCATTATTTGTAGAGATTTTTGGCCAAAAATATGTTTCGAAGCAAACAATTATAGTTTGAACGTTGAGTGAATGTAATCAACATTTTTATCAATTACTAAAAACGTTTTCAATGTTTTAATGGTTTTGGACACAAATTGTTTGCCGTAAGAGTAAAAGCAAATAATCATTCATTCAATAAAATGCATATATTGTTAAAAGTAAACTACAAATTAATCTATAGTTTATTTATGTTGGGTTTAGTTCAGTATAGAAAGTTGTGCCACAATTGAAGTGCACTCAATGTTTGCTTATATTGAATAGTGTTTATGCAATAATTATTGTCATTTTAATAATTAAAGTTTTAATAAATAATTTGTTCGTTTTGTCTTTAAATGAGAGAATTCACTGAATCATCGCATATATTGTGAAAATGTCTAAAAACACGACATAAATGTGTTTCACTGCAAACAAATTATTATGAAATGTGTCACTCATTTAATCCATACGTTTATTACTGTAATGTAAGGTATATTCACAATACGATCGCAAAATAGTAGTACTATTTTAGTGCCTCAGTTGATGCAACTCCAGTTGATTTGGACTCAAATACAGGTGTTTTTCTGGTTTTATTTCGTAAAACACTAATAATTATATTTTTTTGCAAATTAAAAAATATATGTATAATATATTTATTATATCTACGGCTCGCATATCTTATCTGTGAAGACATTTATTAGTTTTGAACCAGAATTCATGGCAAACGAGAAAATTAGTCGTTTTTATTAAACGGCAAATTACTTTTTATTCCCAATTCAGGGACACATTTGACGAATCTTTTTATGAAAAACTCCAATTCAGTCCGTCTTTCAGTAGATATTTATGTTTTTTCTTCTTTAGAGGAAATCTCATCTGAATTTACATTTTTTAAAAGTTTCATATTTTTACCAAAAAAAACTCCGATTTATTTGCGTTCAAAACAAATTCTTGATATGTAAAAAATGTTATATAAAATGGTGTCCACTTATTAACATCGTTGGTATTTAAGAGTTGTATTTGAATAATGTTTTAATCATTTGGATTAAGTGTAAGTTCATTAACAATACTCTAATATTTTAAATTTATTTCTTAAAAAACACATATAAAACATACATTTAAAGAGGTTTTATGGCGACAACGAGATGTGTCAATACAAGTACTATTTATTTAGGCTTTTATTTTTCTAGGTATACCGTATAGAAAATGATTTTTATTAAATTAGTTTATTGTGAATCGATTGCATTCATTGTGAAAGGCATTCGTGTAAAAGCCTTTTCACTCGACATTCAATACTTTCTTGTTTTGTAGAATTCATTCAAAACTCTAATCAATAGATGTGAATGTCTTTTGTGTTAAATGTTTCACAAAAACAAAGATTTTAAATTATATTTACATATATTTTCATATTTTTTACCAAATTTATGTTAATCTTATCAATATTTTATATTTTTATTAATAATTTTTTTATTAATAGATTAATGTTTTGTAAGATTAGTTTATAACTTAGGAAATGAAATGTTTGCAATTGAACATAAAATCTATTAAAAAATATTTTTAAATTAAACATTAAATAATTTTTAAATAAATTTATACTTCAAAACAGATGTATTGATTAAACTGTTTGTCAATCTTAAATATAATTGTTTTTTTGAAGTGTTATTTGTGAGCAATTAATTATTTAGAG